TATATATACATCATATATATGTATGTACAGGTATATATAATATATATACATATACTTATATACATACACATACATATATATCTATATATATATATATACATCATATATATATGTATGTACAGGTATATATAATATATATACATATACATATATACATACACATACATATACATATATACACATATATACATATAATAATAATAATAATAATAATAATAATAATAATAATAATAATAATAATAATAACAATAATAATAATATGTCGTTCTTATATAGCGCTTCATGCCTTTACAAGGCCTCTAAGCGCTTCAAATTATCAAACACATATGGAACACATTGAACACCAAATTAAATTAGTAAATGAAATTATATTATCATTCCATAATATTGCAGCTAGTAATCAGCTAGCTGCAGGTTGTGTTGGAACCTACCAGGTACCCAGGTGGAGAGAGGCAACCATAGATAAAGTGCCTTGCCCAAAGACACAAGCCATTTGCACAGCCAGAGTTTCGAACCCCCGACCTCAAGGTTGGGAGTCCAAGCCACAACCGGTGCACCAACCACTCCCACATATATACATATATACACACATATATACATATACATATATACACATATATGCCTATATATTATATGTATACAAAATAGATAGGCTATAATTAATAAACACAATTTTAAGCCCATGAATTAAGACACAAGCCATTTTCACAGCCAGAGTTTCGATAATGTCATGCAAAGAACGTTGTTTTTATTTATCATACCTTGATTTTTGCTGAATCAAACATCTGTTGCGGAAGGCAGTTGTTAGGATGGTCCTGTGTCACTTTTATAGGCCTAGTAGGCAATATACACATTGTAAAATTAATACTGAGTCTCAATAAATATTGCTAGGAATATAATTCTTGATTTAGGCTCCCAATTAGGCATGGGATGGAGATAAATTTGCTAACGCTCTATTTATAAAATATAATTTAATATAAATAATTCTGGTAGATCTATTTTAGGACTAAACTAAAGCACTTTTGAATGCGAGCACCCTTGTCTCTAAGTCACAGATTTACCCATTTCATTTACAATTTTTCACTGGTCATTTTCAAAGTATACCTTTTGGCCCTTGTCAATTATTATATCTGTTGTAATTTAAGATTAGTATATAAGTTGGAAATGAAATAATAGATAAGTATAGAGCCTTAACATCAGTCCCGCTTCGAGACCCTCTTCTCTGTTGTTTTGGTTGGTAGTACCAAAATGTCTCTTATACAGGCTATGAATGGCCTAGTCTACACAGACAACATGCTATGCACTTTAAGGAACCCAGAACACTATTTGAGAAGACAAGGGGCTAACCCGATGCTCTAGAACGAGGTGATGCAGAACCCGATATGATTACCATTTCGGAAGTGAAAAACACATTATGTGGTACCGTACGCTAATAAATCGAACACTTTTTACCTTTATCTCATCTGTTTATTAAGCTAATTTATTTTGACAATATATTATCAAATAAACTTTGAATTATAGATGGGCCTAAATACTCGTTGAATTTTTGTTTGGATGTTACGTTATTAATATTTTTGAGTTTACATCAACGCTTGCTTTTTTTTACTACTTGGATCATTCAAAAGTATATTACTAGGAATGGTGAAGAATTTATTCACCGAGACCAAAATTAACTTTGATTTGAAATTAGGTCCATAGTTGTTATTGTATTATGTTATTAATTATAGTTACCAAAGTCCGCGGATTATCCACGTGGTCACGTTTGCTGGATTACATGCTCTGCTAGGTAAATCCTGTTAAAGAAATCTTATTAGAAAAAAATACTTTTCCTTTTCCCTCGTAGCATTAGTTTTTGTAAGGCAATGTTCGTATTAAAATATTATATAAACGTGAAATTTCATTTTTATTATCATAGACCTAATCGTCGCCCATTATCATCATCATAACCATGCTTGTCATCATTATCACTGCCATTGTCATTAACATTACCATTATTCCGAGAGGGGGATGATGATGATGCATCATAAATTACCATTTATTATCATCGTCGTAATAGTCGTCATCGATTGTCCAAAACCAGTGGTTATTTTGGTAAATAGATCAAACTCCGCAGTACGCGTCAATTATAGAATGAATGAATAAATGACTTACAGTATTATGAAGATGATAATTATCACAACCGCTATCATCGTCCTCATCATCACCACCACCACCAAAACCACCACCACCACCACCATCATCATTATCATTATTACGTTAGTAGTCATTATTAATTTTATACTATAACAATAAGCATAATAGAAGCACATAAAAAGGTCTATATAAGACAAAAGTCGAAACATAATTGAGCCATGGCATACGTAAACAATGTATAAATAGTGGATAAGGCTTAAGGTTTACATGACCCAACTTTACCAACATGCATTATCAACATTATTAAATGTTTTTTACAAAGGGAGCAGAGAGCGGAAGTACGTGTGGTTGATTAAAATGTTAATAAACTATCATGAAGTAATTAACAGGCAGTTTACTAATATGAAAAGTAAAGTTTATGCCTACCACTTGAGACATACAAAACGTCGGAGGCCATTGCCGGGTCAGCCTTAGAATATCCCAATCTGGCCTAGAAACATTGAGAAAACATAAAATTGCGTATGTGTGTATGCATGTATATATATATATATATATATATATATAAATATATATATATATATATAT